TGTACCATCCATACGTAATCAATCAGGTGAAATAGTTCAGAACCCCTAAGAAATTAATAAAGTATTTCATACTTTCTACCAAAAATTATATTTTTCGGAACATAACCCAGATAGAACAGAAATAGATAATTTCTTAAAAGAATTAAAACTACCAACAATATCAAAAGAACAGGCAGATGCTCTAGACACTCCACTTACTCTTGATGAACTCTATAAAGCATTACATAAAATGCCAAATAACAAATCACCCGGGCTTGATGGACTCCCAGCTGAATTCTCCACACTGGAGACTCCATCATCCATGTAGAAATCCTGCATAATAAATTGTGAACCCAGGGGGTACAGATGTTCACCTTCTCTTGCAAGATGCTTTAGTCCAAAATTAGCACATCCGGGGGACAACGAGGCACCAAACAGATGTACTCTCATGCGGAACTTTTGAGGCTGTGAGTTTAAATCTCCATTTCTCCATCATAGAAAGTGCAAGTAATCACAATCTGCTTCGTCAACATGGAACTGGTGGAACATCCTCTCAATATCACACATCAGGGCTACAGGGTACTGTCTGAACCGCAAATGAATGCCAGTCAGGCTGTTCATCAGGTCAGGGCCTGTAAGAAGATGATCGTTCAAGCTAGTTCTCTTGAATCTGGCGGAGCAGTCGAAAACCACATGTAATTTCCCTGACTTCTTCGAGTGATACAATATCAATATAGTAACAAAATGAGTAAATATCTAGCGAATCAACTAAAGCGTAAAAAAGAAAAAGCAATTGTACCATCCATACGTAATCAATCAGGTGAAATAGTTCAGAACCCCTAAGAAATTAATAAAGTATTTCATACTTTCTACCAAAAATTATATTTTTCGGAACATAACCCAGATAGAACAGAAATAGATAATTTCTTAAAAGAATTAAAACTACCAACAATATCAAAAGAACAGGCAGATGCTCTAGACACTCCACTTACTCTTGATGAACTCTATAAAGCATTACATAAAATGCCAAATAACAAATCACCCGGGCTTGATGGACTCCCAGCTGAATTCTATAAACACTTCTGGCAAATTCTGTCTCCATTTTTTCACAGAGTAATCACTGAAATAAAAACTAAATCCACAATTCCGACACATATGAATCCAGCTGTCATGACACTTCTACTAAAACCAAACAAAGACCCAATTTACCCCACCAGCTACGGCCCTCTCTCATTAATAAATACAGATTTAAAAATGATCACCAAAGCATTAACTACTAGAATAGAAACAGTTATCCCACTGTTAATCCACCATGATCAAACAGGATTTATTAAACACAGAAGTGCTTCAGATAACACCTGTAGATTATTTAATTTAATTAATCTTGCCCAACAAAAACAAACCAAAACTGTTATTGTTTCACTAGCTGCTGAAAAGGCATTTGACAAAGTTAACTGGACATTTTTATTCAACACCCTACGCAGATTTGGTTTTGGAGAGTCGTTCATCAATTGGATACAAATATTATACACTTCACCTAGGGCCACAGTAATCACAAACGGGGTCACATCACAAAGCTTCACACTTCACCGGGGGACCAGACAAGGATGCCCACTTTCACCGTCATTATTTGTCATTTTTATAGAACCTCTTGCAATAGCAATACGACAAAACAATAAAATTCAA